AAAGAGGGAAGGATGGGTGAAGACTGAACATAGCAGGGGTGCCCAGGGCATGTCCTGAGGCACAGATGTGGCCCTCAGAGCTTTAAACTACTCTCTCACAATAGAACAACCAAGCCAAGTTCTCTTCATTGTGATCTGGGGTTCATGACTCAGCGCTCAGCATGTCCAAAGCCTGGTCTGGCTGCCTCCACTTTCATCCAAATATCTGTTTACCTGGAGGTCTTGGAGTAAATGTTATGTCCTGCCTTTGATAGGCGAACATAACGTAAGGTGGGAGCCAGCAATCTGGACTCTAACAGACCTGAAAGAGGGGGGAACAAATGGAGATTTCAAGTCAACGAAATGCTGACTGTTCCTCTTTCCAGCCACAGTTTGGGATGTCCAGCACATAGCTCTAAAACTAATGCATCTACTTACTCCTCAAGGAGTCATTCTGTGGCTTGGAGTGCGGTAGCCCAAAGCAGGCAGGGCAACGCAAGTGAAAGAACAACTCCAAACTGAACTAGGGAGCCTGCAAAGGTGAAAGGATAAGCAAAGATCTGGTTCCCACTCTTGGAGGGAGCATCTGGACACAGCAATCTGGCACCTATAAAAATGTAAAGGACCACTGAAGAAGGAAAGTATAGACACGACAGGAAGTGATTAAGGGACGGAAAAGGATTTATGCAGAGGCAGCGTGTCAGGGTAAGGATGAACTCTGTGTTCAGGAGGTGTTGATAGGCAGATTTAAAGACAAGAAAGACTTGGAAGGGAAATGAAAGTTTGGGGTCAAGGATGACCCTGAGATTTCTGACCTCAATTTTCAGGCTAAGGTCTAGGTTACAGAGGGTATGACCTGAGTCAAAGAGGAGGAACAAAGAGAGCTTTTTATGCTCAAGATGAGCTCCGGTTTTTCAAATCATTCAGTAGCAGGATGTTAAGGGGCAGCTAGCAGCAAACAGAGGAATGTGTTCTTATGTCTGTTGCACTAATGTAAATCAGGAATAACGCCACAGACTTCATGGAGACACTCTGGATTTACGTCCATGCAACTGGTTTCAGAAACTGGCCCCAGAGTCAAGACAGACAAATAGATGGGAGACAAGAAAATGAAGGATTGAGTTAAGGGGAAATATAAAAATGGGTATCATCTATAATATTACTATCTAACCCTAGAAGGGAAAAGTTAGATAGCAAAGGGGGCTGAGTTCCTCTCCATAAGAACGGCTATACTGGGTCAGATCAGCTGTCCATCTAGCCCAGTATCCTGTCTTCTGACAGTGGCCAATGCCAGATGCTTTTAGGAGAAGGCACAGAACAGGAAATTATCAAGTGATTTATCTCGTCGCCCAACCCCAGCATCTGGCAGTCAGAGGCTTAGGGACACCCTGAGCATGGGGTTGCATCACTGACCATCATGTCTAAGTGATTCTCCTATGAAGGCAACCCTAATCACCCATCACAATCCAACACTCCATCAGTGTCCACCCAGCACTCCCATCCAAAACTAGCAATGGTTGCTTGCTGTGACTCCAATCCCTTTGCTGACACAAAGGATTATGGGACTGTGAACAGGACAAGAGATCACAGCTCGTTTGGTGGTCACGGGTGGAGAAAACTTGAAAACCTCTGATATAAAGGTTCCACCAGAAATGAAAAAGGAGTAGTTAGAGAGCTAGGATTGAAATTAGAGGAAGAAAGTGCAGGAGACACCAGTTTCTTACATGAGACGCTCAAGAGGAGAAAGTGATTGATAGTAAAGAAAACTGCACTGGGGTCAAACACGAAGTGAAAAAGAGAGGGATCTATGGTCCACGGTCAATGGCAAGGTCATTAACCACCCACAGAGGGTCAATTTTGGTAGTGGGAAAAGGTCAAACGCCAGGCAAAAAGTGGCTAGGGAAGTTGTACTGGGAGAAATGGTCATAGCTTGGAGGAGGCCACCATGCTCAGAAAGGGCAAATGGCGATATAAAAGAGTAGGTTTTACCTGAGCGGAGTAAGATGTTTTGTGTGAGAAAGGGAAAAGAAATCAAGTGACGATGGAGTGGCTGATGATAGCTATGAAGTAAAGGGCAAGAAAAGGTGACAATGACTGGAGTTGGAAGGAAGTCCAACAAGAAGGGACTTTTCTTCACAGACAAGAACAATAACGCTTTTGAGGAGAGACGTGGAGAAGGGGAAATATAACAAAAATGTGGCATTTATTGTAAAACAAATAATAATTTACACAGCGATGCAGACTGCTAGTAAATCAAGGGGGAATGAGGCCCCGAATCTTGAAACTGCAGTGAGGTTATATACACCTTTTTGATTCCTGAAAAGCAAATGTAATCATTTCCTCACAACAAATTGTGGCAAACGGGATGGGAAGAAAAGAATGTATTCCATTGTCCACAGCCAGCCCCATCAGTGTGCACAGTGATAATCCACGGACTCTTAGATTATATACAATACACTGGGCTTTCCATATCTTCTGATGGGCAAGGAGCTCTGATCTGCTGTCTCTTCAGGCTCAAGCCAAGGGAATTGAATTCATGAACAGAATCCATGTACGAAAGAGCACAAGTAGTGTGGGAGGAGATACAAGATGGAGGAAGGTGCAAACTGGTCATTGGCTGAGTAAAGGATAGAGTTATATATATTGATAGCTGCTTGGGGGGGAAATGGAGTCAACAGACAGAGAAATCATTGAGAGAGAATGGAGAGGTACCCAGGCTTTGGGACACTGGTTCACAAACTACAGTTCATGGCCCTCCAAAGATCTGCAGTATGAAAAATTTTGAGAAATAGAGAATTGGAGACTGAAGCCTGGAAGGGGAGGTGGGTCATTTCTCTGTCACAAAGTGGCCTGATGAATGAAAAAGCTGGAGAACCTCTGCTTTAGTGGATGAGTGCACCAAAGCAAAGGCAGGAACAGGCTGGTTTGAGAAGAACAAAATCCGAAGTGCCGAAGGATTGATCTCTGACAGCAAGACCAAAGCTAGAGCGAGGGTGTTGTAACTTCTGGATGAGTGGGTAGGAGAGCCTGTGAAACACCAAGAACTTCCAGGAGAAAAAAGAAGTCAGGGATGTTAGGATTAACCCCCTAATGCTTACACTAGAAGAGGTAAAGCCAGTATATACATAACAACTGATAAATCCTGAAGGAAAGGGTTCATTAGGCCAAAACTGCCTGATAAATTACCAAGAGTGATCCTGCAGTCCTTAAGCAATACTCCCATTGAATTCAATGGAACCTTGCCCGAATAAAGGGTCTGATGGCCGTAAAAGGAGGTTAGAAAGGTGTTTAAAAAAAAAAAAGGGATGGGTAGTTGTGAGTTGAGACTTAGGTCTCGTGAATACTTAAAACTGAAGCTGACATAGCTACAGTGCTCAGGGGTGTGAAAAATGCCGACCGGACCTCCAGTTTTGATGCACCTATATCGATGGAAGAATGCTTCCATCAACCGAGCTACTGTCGCTTGCAGAGGTGGTGTTCCAACAGCAATGGAAAAACCCTTCTGCCAGTGTAGGCTGCACCCACACTACGGGGGATATACCGGCATAACGGCTATATAGCAAGGCTGCTATAGTCCCCACAATGTAAACACAGCATAAGGAAAGTTGAAGTCTAGATTTGACAATGTCAGCCATGGGTCTGTCACATATGAGTAGACACATGTGTGCGTGCATGGGTGTGTGTTAATCTCAATGGTTAAAAAGTTAATCAAATTTAAAGCATATACATTTATATAGTCCATAAAATTAGTATTTAAAAATTAAAATCTGTACAAGTAGGAAAACTAGCCTACTGTGCAAAAGACAGTTATCAGCTCTCAAATGCCATTAAATAATAGTAACTATTTATATTATGGTAGCACCTCAACTCCCCAGTCTAGACTCCACTCTGCTACATGCTGCACTAGTTCATAGGTAGAAATAGTCCCTGTTCCAAACAGCACCGTACATTTCTGCCTGTAACATGATTGATTGTCAGTGAACTGTAACTCTGCCTCCTCCTCAGAGGACTAATGATTAGACCTATTGTAAGCAACTGTATCTGAATCAACAACAGCATGATGCAGAGTTTTATAGGGATGCTGTTAAGTAGTGTAAGGCTCAATGTCTAGGTTTTATTTTTTAAAGCAGGATTTTTACATAAATTAAAATACGTTGAAGATTTAAATAAATAAATGTAAAGACTAAATTAGATTTAATTATTTAAACATTTCCATGGTGTATGTTAAACCCAAACACAGGAGAAGCAGAAAATATGACTGTCCATAAACACAAAGTGAAAATGACTGCCTAGTTTCTTGGTTAACTTTGGAGTAAAGTAAAAAAAAGTGTTGTTTTTTTTTTTAAAGTGTCACAGACACAAAGCAAACTTGATGTTGTTTCCATTCCTTCTCCTTCCATAATCTAGTGGTATCACAAATAAGACATATGTTTACATATAATATTTTATCTTGGCAGTGTCACTGTAACATATATATTTGGCAATTTAAAACAAAAAATGCTCTCCCCAACTCATCTTTTTCCTTATAATACTAAAGAATGAAGTGCCTATAATAATATCTGAAAACATTCAGAGAACACAAGACTTCATAAAGAACCTGTCGACATTCCATCGCAGCTTCTGATATTTTTGGATGTACCATATCTGTCCTCAGAAACCACCTTTATGACCCATTAAAAAATGAACAGATAAAGCAGAAAAATCAAAGGTTCTGATCCAGCATCTACTGAAGTCAATGGCAAAATTTCAATTGACTTCAGTGAGAGCTGGCTACAATCAGGCCACAATGGTTTAACTCGTTATTGCTGTTCTCCAGTGCAGGAATTCTGCATTAGCAAACATATGATCAATCTCAAGGCCTGATCCTGCAGCCTTTATGTGAATAGTCCCATCGGCTTCAATGGGCCTTCCCATGTGAGCTAGGGATGTAGGACAGGGCCCTTTGTATCACCATAGGCTGTAATCTATCTTTCTAAGACCACTAAAAGCAGGAAGCAGTGACCCAAAACACCTTGTCTTACCTGTGGCACAAAGGGCAATAAATGTTTGTGCATGCTTCCGGATCAAAAGCAACTTGTCTTTAGGTAGAGGCAGTTTTCTTAGAATGTGTTCAATGAAATCATGTGGAGTCACTGCTGCAAGATTCCACTTCAACTTTCCCAGCACCACCAGCTCCCACTCCTGAAGGAAGAAAACAAAAAAGAAAAACCATAGGCAAGCCTGACGAAAAAGAACAAAAAGCGTACTCATTTTACGGATTGTAATTATATCACTGCTAAATTGGTTTTGCTTAAACCTTTTTGCAATATGCCTCTGAAGCTTTGAAGTTGTTGACTTTGCTTTTCCTTCATTTTTTTTTGAACACTGGAAATGTCAAGCTACACTGAAAATAATGAGGCCTGGCAGTTCCTGCCAAGATTTTACTTTTTTTGCAGCCAGTGCTGAATGCCCACCCAGAAAGTTTAGCCTGCAATTAGATATTGCCAAGGTCACTGTGGTCCTTCCCTAGTAACTTATTTTAAATGGCTAGAGTGCTTAATTTATAGCCATTTAAAGCCCACTGGATAACTATGCACACAAATAAGCAAGACATACATTTTCTTTTTCCACTGGGAAAGTCAGCCCCACAGCATTTTCTCTACAATTGTTTTAGAGATGTCCTTTGCTTCAAACTGTATTTCACGTATGCCACAGCAAGTTTTGCAGAAGGGAAACGCATATGACACATCCAAGAAGAAGACTGTAAGACATCTGACAATGTACCACATAGGACCCAATCCTGCATTCTTTGCACACACAAAACTCCCCGAGAAGTCACAAGAAGTTTTCGGGTGCACAAGGAATGACGGTTCAGGCCCATAAGTGTGGTTATGCTTCAAAAAGCAGTTATATATAAAAATGGCACCTTCTCACGCAACAGATCTGCTCTTTGGGTACCTTCAGAGCCATGTTTCCTTCCTTTAGTCTCTAAAATAAGTTTTTCATACATTTTACTGCTATTAGTAAAAGAGCCATCATAGATCAGAGAGAGGGAACTGGATTCCACTCCACTTCATGCATCATCAGAATTATTAAATACATTCCATTTATAGACTCTTTAATCTCAAGGATGCATGAGCCTGCAGAAAGCCAGCAGCACTCTCAGAGCCCAGGTTGAGTTTGTAGGGCTGGCAATTGGAAAAAACATCTTTTTTATTCGTGAACTTAGTAGATCTGAACTGGCATCTGTGAGAGACAATAAACATGGAACCCCACAATGGCATTTTTACAGTCACTTTTCAGAGTAGAACCCTATAACATAACAGCTATAGAAACTGCTATTGGGATAATATAGAACCCTTCAAAACCTGGAAATCTTCTACTGAAATGTTTCCGTAAGGGTGACTTGAAACCAGTCCTGCATAATTTCTCAAGAAAAATCATAAAATATTTTAATAAAATGACAATTAAATTCATTACGGACTGATCTTTCTAACACTACCAGATACAAGCCCCAATTCAGGAAAGCATCTTTATTCAGCAAAGCACTTAAGCATGTGTTTAACTTTAACTTCCCCTGAAATCAAAAAAGTTAAGCATGTGCTTAAGCGCTTTCCTGAATTGAGGCCACAGTGTTTATTGCCATAGGGAGTACCACTGGTGGAACTATTAACAGTGTATTAAGCACAGCAGCATTTTGGGGGCAAGGCCCTTCCTTTTAGATTGATTTTGCAACCTTTTCACAGATGGAACTCCACTGGCTTCAATGGGTGTTTCACGTAAGAAGTATTTGTATGAATTCAGGGCCAGATTCTACAAATTAGGATCTGTGAGAACAGAACTATTTGATTGAAATATGGACTCTTACAAACTAATAATACTTAGCACTTACACAGTACTTTGTATCTTAAAAGTGCTTTGCAAATATTATTTCATCAGAAATCATTTAAATAAAAGTAACTTTTTTCAGCTCTCTCACCTTAAGATCTGATCCTGAACTCCTCAGTGAGGAGGGGGCCCTTATTTACAATTACGCTTAACAGAGCTGAATTTTGATAAATTTCACCCTTATTGAGTTAACACTAGGAGCTACATTTACAAAAAAGGCACAAATGCCACCCATGATTTTCTAAGTTATAAATGTATCACTTGTACGGGCAATTTGTTAATTTCACAGTATGAAGCACTCCATCCTACTCTCACTAGAGTCAATGGCAATACTCCCATTGACTTCAACAGGAGCGGGATTCAACAATAAATGAAAGAAATTTAGAAACAAGACTTACTGCATCAATAGTGAAAAAAATTTTGAAAGTAAATTTTCCAAAGGGTGATAAAAATCCTCCATAAATATTTATTTTATTTGGTACGTAACCTGAATAAAACCAAGTGACATAACATGGGTTTTTAAAAAGTTCCTCATATTGCAGACAGCTCCTTTAAAACTGAAAGCAGAAAAGAAACTACAAACAGAAGAGATTCTGGCAATGGTTCAAAAATGAGGTCATTTCCAATTGTGCATGTCTGACACTGGATGGCAGTGCAGCACCAGAGCACCAGAAAGAAAGCACCTTTACAAAGAACCCAGCACAGAAAGTTTCTTGCCCATTTAAACACATGTACATATATGTATGTGCATGCTATCAAAAAGAGATCTTCTGCTAACTATGTATAAATCTCTTAAAAAACACGAACAGTAACCAAAGCCTTCAGATTATCTCTCAGGGCATTTGCTAACCATTGTGTTAAATAAATAAATAGGAAAAGGACAAGAATATTAAATATTAGGCAATTATATACAGTACATTCAAAATGAATGGGGGGATGTCCCCCTCAAACAATCATGCTATTTTCATACAAGAAACTTATCTTGATCACTTTCTATCAGTGCATGAAAATCTTTTAACACCTTCAACTTTTCAAATATTGTTTAAAAAATTATAAATGGGCAGGGAAATATATCATTTGTTGGGCTCTGGAAGGAGGGGGGAGGTTGTCAGCGCAGGAGCTGATGGTGGAGGGGGAGAGGGACACACTGGAGGTAGAGTGGGGCTGCTTACCAGCAGCTCTTGGGGTTTGATGGAATTGTCCGTATATATGCAAAGTTTCTCTGCAGTGAGGGGGATTGTCTCTTTCAGCTTGGAGGCCAAGAACATGCAAACTGCCCCCAGCAGCTGCAGATGGCACTTTCTGGTGGGCACCACAGCTAAAAATCTGTCCAAGTAATTCATGGCTAGGGGGAAAACCTCTTCTTCACACTTCTGCTCTTCACAGACCTGCAATCAAGGAGTGGGGGTGAGGAGGAAAGCGAGAGAGAGAAGAAAATGAGTGATCACATGAAATTTACCAATGGCTCTAAATGATTTTTTTTTTTTTGCGGGGAGCTAGACTGGGGGGAGGGGGCGATCTCTGGAGCGGCTGGGAAGGCTGTCAATCGGCTTTCACATTCCTTTGGTTCATTCAGTAAGAAATGAATTAAGTCACAGTGTGGGAGCCGAAAGCCCATCGAGCAGCAGCAGCAGCCGCCGCCTCAGACTTTGCGACCCAATTTTTTCTTGGTTTTTTTTTTTTTGCCCTTTTTGGATTTCGTCATATTTTCAAAAAATAAATAAAAATATTTACAACGCCCTGGGGGCCCCTGTTTTTGGAGCGATGGCATCACCAGGCGCCCCCCTATCATTCCCGACAATTGTAAAAATTCCCAAGGGGGGTGTTCCCCCAGCCCTGGGCCCGCGATTCGGCAAGGGGGGGAGGTGGGGTGGGAAGAGCCTGGATCCTCAGCAGGAGAAAATGGTTTCAAAAAATGATCAAAAATCCAACCCAGGGGGGAAAGGGACAAATTTCACATGAAAACCAAGAGGAGGGTCTGGGCTTCCCAGCCTGGGGGGGATGGGCGGGGAGGGGTCCCCCCAAAGCGAGATCTTAAGGGGAAATGATGGGGGCCAGCGCAAGGCTGCAAAGTCTGGAGGGCTCTGGGCCCACAGCCGCCCTTGCAGGGTAAGTATTGGGGAGAGGGAGGGATTCCCCGGCTCACCGGGCTCCCCAGCAGCCTCCCCTCAAGCTGGGGGCCAGCCGTGCTGAGACGGGGGTGTATTTCAGATCCATTCTTTTTTGGGGTGGGGGTGGCTCAGCGCTTCTAAGCAGAGTTGCATGCAAAGCAACATGGCGAAAAAAATGGCACGTCCTGAGCACTGCATACGTGGGCACAGAAATACTTGTTGGGCAAAAATCAGGGGGGGATCGGTCACCCCCTGTTTTTTGCACGGCATCTGGGGCAGCTCCCCTCGCCATAAAAGCCTCACTCGAGCAGATCCAGTAGCCTGGGGGAAGAGGAGGGTTTTCTTTTCCTTGTTTTGCAAATGACTTTTGCAACTTTCCTTCTCCCCCATTTTGCACCCCTCTTTGCAAAGCAGCAGCCCCGGAAGGGCAGTTTTCTTCACAGGTTCACAGTCAAACGACCGAGACACAATCATTTCACATCCCCTTCTGCCTCCCCCTCCCCACCACCACCACCACCACCCGACAAGAAAAGCACTGAATGAATTAGCAAAAACCATGATCTGGGGGGAAACACTGCAAGAAAAGAAGGGACAAAACAAACTCAGGAGAGCTTGCAAAAGGGTGAGCTATGCAGCCACCACCCCTGTGCAAAGGAACCCCCTAAAATCCCGAACTAGGGGCAAAGAGGGGAGACAGACCGATGGGGGGGGGGGAGAAGCTCTGCCTCTCAATTTAATACAAACCTCCAACATCCAGGTCGCCACCATCCTCCTCATAAAGGGCTGGATGTCCTTCTGGACGCATTTGAAATAGGAACATTGGGGCAGATACCTCTCTTCTATGGTTAACAAATTGTGCAAAACGCGGTCATCATAGAGTAAGTTCGGGTCGGGCAGAGCTCTCCGCATGGGATCCACCTCGCAGCACAGCAGCTCCATGTTTCCAAAGAGATCTCCCTCTTTCTCTGATGGAAAAGTTTTTTGGGGGGAGGAGGAGGGGAAGGAGGGGGCAAAGGAGGAGGGGTGAATGGGTGGGAGGCAGACTGCAGGGCTTTCCAGCTCCCTCCTGCTTCCTTGAAAGTTCTCTCTCCTCTCTCTCGCTCTCTTGATTTCTAGCCTAAAGTTGAAGCAAAAGTGACGCAACGCACTAGGGCAGGCAGTTCTCTCGCTTGTTATTATGGAGAACAGCAGCTGGTCAGATGTAACATCAAACGCGTTTTTCCCCCCTCTATAAGCTAACAAGGAACCAGGAGGCCCTTGTATAGGGCACACACACACAAAATGACAGCTTCTCTTTTTCTTCGTTACAGCGACCAAACAAAATCGCTCCAGACTTTCTGCTATACCGGGCAATCTGGATCCATATAAGTTTTTTCTCTCTCTCTCTTTTTTTTTAATTGCTTATTGCAAGAACAGAACCGAGTGGTATCAGCTTAGTTTTGTGTGTGTTAACCATGCCATTTCCTTGCTCACTGGAGATCCTCCTGCTTCTTCCAGATTAAACAGAAGCTTTCGGATACCCCTTTCCCCACACACTTTTCCCCCCCCCCCCCCCCAATCCTCCTGACCTGCAACCAGGAGGAAAACTTTGCTTGCCAGCGAAAGACTAAAGGCAAAACAGAGACCGTACAAAAGAAGATTCCAAGGCTGTGTGCTTGCTGATGCTTGTATATTTTGCAGTATTTTCACGCTGCTGTTGGGGAGATCTAGCAGTGGCCACAATGCAACTTCCTCGAATATGTCGATGTATTTCTGACTAACAGCCAGAACTGTGTTAGCACTGCATGGTCACACTGATATAGCTTTCTAGGAAATATAATGGGGGTGGGGGAGCAGAAGGGCGGATTTGTCCCGCACTTGCTCTGTGACTTTCACCCTTCAGCACTGCATTTTTTCCGGCATCAGTTATTCTTAATTATCTCCTTTATATTGTATATATATATATTTAAATTGCACTTGGCAATAAATGTGATTTCCATCATGCTTGATTTGCTATGAGGATCATTCATGCTCTTGCTTTTTTTGCATCTATTATTTTAACCATGGAGTTTAACTTTTATTCTGGGTGTTTTTTTAACCTTTTACAACACCCCTCAGTTCATTGTCACCCCTCTGTGCCTCCCAGCCTATGCAAGGCAGCATTTTGTGAAGTGTGTCAAGTTTGTTAAGTCTCTGTTGCAGCCTTGCTGGAACCAGAGAAGAGGAACTGTATGCTCCTAAAGATGGGTTTGCATGAAAAGTAAGGTGGCCAGGCAGAAAATAAAGACGTGTATGTGGCTAGCACACCTCCTAATCACCCCTTCAGTCCCCCCAGTACAATGAAGGTGAAGAGGAGGGAAAGAAAATATCACTTTAAAAGTGTGAGTTGAGAGTTTGGGGAGCTGCTTCCCCTCCCTCTATTTGCATAGCCAATAGCTCTGGGGCTTTTGCTGCTGCGCGCTGATTGTTACTGGGCAGATTATATTTTAAGGAAGAAGCATTCCTCACTACATCAAAAGAAACCAAGGAAGGGGAAAGGGGGAAAAAAGACATACACACACAACCTTCTGACCTTATCAACTGGGGGAAATCAGTATCCGGTCTATTGTAAAAAAATTAATAAAAGATCAAAGATCAAAATTGCTAATTGGAAATTAGCAATCACCCCCAAAACCAAAAACAAAACAAAACAAAAAACCCACCCACCCACAACCCTCAAATTGCAGTTCAAAACGAAACAGTATGTACTGAGGATGAAACTGCCTTGGTTTAACTGCATGAGGAATAAAGTCACATTCAAAAACAAAACACAAAAAGCTTGAGGGGGATTTTCCCAAACCGAGTAGATATTTTAGTCAATGATGTGAAATGTTTGTTTAACTACCAAAAAGACAATCTGAACCTTTTCTACAGCACCTTTGATACTTGCTAATGAGTAGAGCCATCATAATGAGGTATACACGATTCCTATTATCTTTCATCAAAAGTCATCTACCTCCTCCCTCCCAAAAAGCAAAGAATCACACGTGATTTCAAATCCATGCGCCATACAAACTATGGTTTAAATCATTTTTAGCTTCTTATCACGTCCTTGTGTGGGAGCTTATCAGTAAAAGTCCGCAATAGAAAGCACTGGAAACATATCTACTTTGCAAAATTTGTATTTTATTACGGCATTTGGGGAAAGGAAGGAGGGACTCCCTCACCCATGCATATACATTAAAGTTATGCTACTCAATGAAAGGCTTTATCTTTCCCTATTCATTTCCCCTTCCTATTGCCTGGCTGCTCCTGTAAAATGGGGAGTGCGTTGTGTCAATGAACTTCTCCCCACCCCCCAAATCTTAGTGAATTCATAAACTCCAAAAGCCAGTAATTGTGATTATTTATTAATATTTTCAAGGAAAAGGGAGAGTGATATAATATCCTATTGGCATAAGATAATTGACAAAAGTTTCTAAGTTTTAAAAGTTGATAGATTTCTAGTTGGATTGGAGATAAATTAATACTATGTTGTCAGAAAGCAGGATTCTTGTAACAGAGAGATAAATATGCAGGAACCTCCACCTACAACAACCCCAATCATCAAGGGGAATAAACAAAGTGATCATTTCCCCGATTGTATATACATATCTTACAATTTATAGTCCAGGTATGCTCATTCAATTTTTATTTTTAAATAATACGTGATGATGGAGCATTTCAAACTTGTTCATTTTTTAAAAATAAAAACCATGCAAATTGTGCACCAGAAATGTGGCTTTTACCTACTGAGGTATTGTGCAAATTCATTCCAGTACAATCGCTTAAAAAGCATTATTATTTTAAGTAATCGTTTTCAACTCCCGACTTCTATTCTTTGAAACGCTAACGTTAAAAAGCATGTGAAAATCTCATTTTCGTCTATTAGGGTATAGAAGAGGCTTTTGCTTTGACTGGATGTGGCGATGAGGGTTGTAGATGCAGTTATGTGCTTCATGAAAAATCCTGTCATTTCTCGACTGCTTTGTGAGTTATCGGTCAGTTTCAGAATAAAGCAGCAAAAACAAGTTGTCTCTTAATTTTGTCCGTATGCCCAGGGGCGCTTCCCTAATAAGGCTATTTAAAAAAAAATACTGCTTAACATTTGGAGACAGCAGATGTTTTAACAGTCTCAGTTTAGAGATTAATCGAGTGCCATATGTTGAATACCACCCCCTTCCCCAAAAAACTTTTCACATACGCTCTCTCTTCTTCTGATGAGCTGTTTTGGCAGTTAAAGAGCATAAATGATTAAACCAAACACTGTTCGTGTTTTTTTTAAACAGACCCGCATTATGTTTATGCCAACACCTTGCAAAAATGACACCACTTTCTGGAAAGGTTGTGTGTGCAGCCTCATGTGGAAATCGCTCCCTGCAGTGATGCCCCTAAGTGCAGCTGCAACCCGCACATGCATGCTGGATTTTCGCGGAAATTTAACATCATCCTGCCAACACACGTTGGAATCATTTTTCTCGGGCGCCTCTGCTGCCGCTGCTCAGCGTCATGCTCTTGAAGCGGTGTGCTCTGCGCTAGAGGGGGTGCTGTGCTGCTGTTAGCCCTATTGCAATGGTTTAAAGGACAGTAATCCGATCTAAAGCTAGTGCCAGTCGTTTGAGGAACTTTTTTCTATTTACTATATTTCTTTATATTAATAATGATCATTAATACAATAGTAATAATGAACGATCCTTTCTTCTTCTTTTTTCATATGAAAGCTCTAAGTGATAGGGAGAGTCTTCATTATGTATTTTGTACAGCCCCGAGTTTATCCAGGAGTAATTTAATTAATTTTTCCCCCCAGCTTCTCCTTTGGGGAAAAAATAAGGGAAGTAAGCAGCCTGAAGATATTTCCAGGCACACGGTCAGATCAAACTTTGTCTCCAAACCAGACTAACAGAAATGTGCGCACATTTAAAAAAAAATCCCAATGGAGAGAGGGGTATTTAAATTAATTAATTAATTAATTAAATATTCCCTTGCAGTGAACAGAGGAGCATGGTTGGGGCATTAGCATCTGAAAGTGAAACTGACTGAAAGCAATCTCCTTCTCCTCCACTTAAAACAGGGGTTCTCAAACTGGGAGTCAGGACCCCTCAAGGGTTTGAGAGGTTATTACATGGGGGGGCGCCAGCTGTCAGCCTCCACCCTGCTTTGCCTCCAGCATTTATAATGGTGTTAAATATATAAACAAGTGTTTTTAATTTATAGGGGGGGGGGTCGCACTCAGAGGCTTGGTATGTGAAAGGGGTCACTAGTACAATAATTTGAGAACCACTGACCTAAAATAACTGTATGGGGTTTTTTTTTCATTGTGAGAGCTGAGCGAGATGCAGAAAGTAAACAAACAGCATGAATCCCAACATGTAAAATAGAATTAAAAATATTTCAGTTTCAATAATCTCAAGTGTTATTTATGAGATCACCTTTTGTTAATGTGATTTTCAACTTTTCAAAGTTGTGTTTTGTGTGTCCACAGGCCAATTCAAAGTAGGCAGCATAGTAAAAATTTACCTTTCCACCCCTCCCGTTCTTGGTTATGTGTGTGAAAATTAGGATTTAGAAATCATAGGAACTGTGTGCACCCCACCCATACAGCTACAAAAATTATAATTGTATTGCTAATTTTAGACTCTTAATTCTTTGGGCAAGAGACTATATCATTTGAGATATTATACTTACATAAAATCACCCATGCAGCAAGCAACATTTGCCCTCCAATAAAGTAGTGTCTGCACTTGGATGGTGCTTTCATACAGGCAGAACAGTTAAACTGATAAACAGATGAATTCCAAGGTGAGTGTTGTAATGAATTTTTAAATAAATTCTTCCTTTCCATTTTATGTAAAATTCAGCTGTTAATCTCTTCTCTTTAATTAGTGGAAGTTCTTCAGGGCATGGACTTTCTTTTACTATGTTTGTACAATGCCCAGCACGTTGGGGCCATAATCCTTATCATAATGATAAAGTTAGATTGGAAAGGGGTTCACTAAAGAGCTACCAGACTGTTTCTAGATCTGGAAAACATGCCTTTTAGTGGGAGACTTAAGAAACTCATTATATTTAGTTTATCCAAGAAAAACTTAAGAGGTCATTTAATCATCATGGTATACAAATATCTATGTGGGTAAGAGATTCATCTAGTAGATGGCTCTACAATCTAGCAGAAGAGGCATTAGGAGATTCAGAGGTTGGAAAGTGAAGCTAGACCAATTCAGACTAGAAATAAGGTGCACATTTTTTACACTGAGAATAATTAACTATTGGAATATGTCATGTAGGGATTTGATATATTACCCATTAATTGAAGTCTTTAAATAAAGACTGGATACCTTTCTAAAGCAGTGGTTTTTTACTGGTGACCCCTTTCACATAGCAAGCCTCTGAGTGCAACCCCCTGTTCTGTATAAACTGTTATATTGTTCATGGTTTATTGAGTTACATGTCAAGTATCAGGGGGTAGCCATGT